GAATATTAGTTTTTCTGGTTTGGGTCCTTCGGGACATCTGTTAAAATTGGAACGGTACAGAGAAGATTAGCATGGCCCCTGCACAAGGATGACACACATAAATCGAGAAATGGTCCAAAAAATAAAAAGGAAGTTTTTTTCTGGGTTGGGTTTGCATCCAAAAAAAAAAAAGAATGGATAAAACCTAGAACAGACAAAATACTATGAGATCAAAAAAATCTCAGAAATAAGTAAACACATTCAAAATCTATCCCACACCTAATTTAGCCTACCTGGGCCTCTAGAGGCAAAAAAAAGTGCTAGTTGCCCTGGAAGTGCCCGAAAGTGTTGTCAATGCGACCCAGGGCCTGCATCTGTTCCAATGCCGGCCCCAGAGGGCCAGGGTGGCGTCGGTGCATTCCACAGGCCCACTTTGCTGGCAAGCCGTGCTCAGTGTTTTACTTCGGCCACTCACTCACGGCAAGCGCACACACTGCACAATAAAGTGGATTGGTGGCTGAAAAAGCTTAATGGTAGAGTATAGCCTCTGCGGGCTCCGCTGCCGGCACCTCAAGCTCTCTCTCTCCCCACTGAGTCTTCCTACGAACTTATGTAGCACCTGGGACTGTTGGCACCTCTCCCAAGCCAGGGAGTGCCACCTTTCTAAGGGGGTCCTCATTTCCTGTTCCTTCGCCCAACTTTTTTGATCCTCAGACCACATATGTTGTACCTTCCAAATCCCTTTCTATGCCAATGAGATCCAACGGTGGTCAGTGGAGGTAGAGACCATGGGAGTCCAGCCTCGTTTGTGGTCCAGGTGTTGCAGAATAAGGGTTTGTCTGAATACTTCTCCCTTGTTGCGAGGTTTACCCTACTTGTTGGGGAGCTGCACCATCCCTTTAGGATTGAGGCCCAGTATGGGATAGGTTTTGGGGGGCCTGAATTATGAGATGGTGTTCTGTCCCTTTTGGCTCTGCCTGTCTTGATCTTTTATTTCCTTCACCATCACTGAGGAGGTTTTCGTCAATGTTGAAGGTCTTTTCTTTTGGATCTAACGGACTTATGCTGTCTAAAGCCATGCACACCCAGGGGAGATGATGCTTGTGGAGCAGTTTAATTATGCATTTCATTTGAAGTGCTATGGCCTCCGATTTTGGGTCGACTAGGCAGTGACCTCGTTCACGTGGCTTCCTTTTCATGTAATGCCAGGCTACTTTCGCGCTGCAAGTTTATATGGCAGGGTCCCATGTCCATATGCCGTCAGACACTTCAGATACGTCATTGTCTGGGAGAGGATCAGATGAGGCCAGATACATAGCATGGAGAAAAGTTGGAAAACTGATGTGTTGCTAAATCAACGCCCTACCTGTCAATGATGCTTGCGCTTACAGTAAACAAGTTAATATGAGAAAAAAGTTAAGGGCCATGAAAAACTTGAAAACTTCCAGAAGAGAAAGGAGTTTTCTGGAGTTAGGGATCGTAAGGGATCAGCTGTTTGTTGGGTTGAGAAGAGGGAGGATGAGGTTTCTTCAGCGACCAATTAGGCAAAAGAGCAGAAAGATCAGTTAAGACAGGGTTTTTAATAAAAGGGGGAGGAGGAGAAAGAAAGGAAACTGGGGTTGAGCATTGCTTCATCCTTTCAGTTTTTGGAAACAATCAAAGAGGTTTCAGGCAGCCCGGAAGGCTGAATCCCTTCCAGAAAGGAAGCAATCAATGCCGCTGTGTCAGAGACTCAGGGTCCTTCAGCCATAACGAAAGGAAGTATGGAGTTGTTGTTTTTGCAAGTGAAGCTGCCATTATAATAAAAGCTCTTATTAGAAAGAAAGAAAAAAAGAAAGGAGCTTTCTGGAATTTTTCTCATCACTCTGTCAAGACATACTTGCAGCAGTGTGTCTTCAAGAGACTTAAGGAGTGCCTTGTTCTCACTCATTTCCTGAATGAGCTTTTCCCTTTGCTCCTCCAGATCTTGACGCTCATGTCTCACCTGTGTCACATGAATCAAAAACATGATTAGACTCACTGACCTTCTTCACAGCGTTGCACACACACACACACACACACACACACACACACACACACACACACACACACACACATTTGCATGATTTATATCCAATTGCGAGGATTTTAAGCCCTCGGTATACCTGCATGTGGCCCCTACAGCAAGCATGTGCCCGCCTTAAGTGAAGGCGGGCCCCCGAATCTCAATGAGGTCTGAATTTGTCAATTTTGCAAAGCCTTGGTGGCCAACAGACAGTTGCCACGCGCCAGTTGGTTACATCCGCCCTGCTCGTGAAAATCAGAAACATTCGTGAGCCTTTCAGGCTCTTCTGGCAACACAGTGGAAGCAGGGAACACCTCGTACCCAGATAAGAAAGCATACACGTTGATCAGATGAACCATGCCTCTCACATGGCTTTCTCAAGGGTCGACTACGTCCTAGTATCAGAATCGCTGATGGGTTCAGTCAAAGACTCAGAGATACTTCTGATACCCCCCTACCAGCTTCTTCGAGTTATACAATTCCCTCCTATTGACAATCTTGAATGGAATCAGTGATTGTTGAAAGTAATCCAAGGTTGCCTCCTCTTGAAAATCTTGAATGGAATCAGTGATTGTTGGCAGTAATCCAAGGGTGGCTTGTTGGCAACACACCATACCATAGGTGGTCATGCTATGTGGCCCGTTGCTTGCAGTTTACATCCTGCAGCAAGAATTGAACCAGAAAACCAGATGACGTGGGAAAACCCGAAAATCCCAACCAGATACCTAGGTATCCAAATTACAAGAAATGCCCCGGCCCCACAGATGGCACAGAGCCTATTGGCTAGTACTATTAATAGAATGAGCAAATGCAACTAGTATTCACATCCCTGTTTGGCTCTAGTATTCACATCCCTGTTTGGCAGTTGTCTGAGAATTAACACATCTATTTTTTCAATGATGCGGTATTATGGCATCGATTTGAGCGGTCCCTGTCGATACCATCAAGGAACTAAACCGGAAGGCAAGAGCCTATGTGTGGACAGGGGAAAGAAGATGTACTACCGCAGCGGTGCAGCCCCATTTTTTTAGCCCCTGGGTGAGAGACAAAGGCCATCAGCCATGATGAGTGATGAATAGGGATAGCTGCTGGTTAGCGTGGGTCAAGAAAGGTGTATGGAAAGTTCGACACATATGGAATGGAGAAGAAAGGGAGTGGGCAACGGAACATGAATTCAGAAACCTTCTGAAAGAGTGCGACAGCCTACGGGATAAGCTACAGGGCACAATGATGAGCATCCCTGAAAGCTGGAAGAAGCTCCTGAAGAGAACTTCACATGGAAAACAGAAGAGTGGGGAGTCCCTATTCAAGACACTTTTTTGCCAGCAAGGGGAATCGAGAACAGGACAGACCTCGATATTCACATCCCCATCATCTACATCCCAGGAAGAACACCGATGATAGAGAATACCCCTTGAGGAGAAACACACGACTCGTTCCTATTACGCAAGGTAAGAGTATGGGCCTATGTCTGGAATCGATCTTTCAGCCTGAAAAAGCTCTGGGAGACTTAGAATTTGATCCGGCAGAATGGGTGTGGATGCCAGAACAAGGAGGCAAGAACAGGATCCCAATAACCATAACAAACCGCTCAGTCAAACTGCGCTATAATCTCCGACCAAGGGCCTCGCTCCACTACAAACACGCTCTACGTGTATCTGGACAGGTATGATCACCTCATGCACTAGGACTGATCACTTGAAATGAATCGGGACCCAATCAGATTCGAACACATTAATTTAGATTGTGGAGTGGAGTGAGACCCCAAAGGTTAGAATGCCTGTCTATAGCTACCAATGCTGGGCACTTTGCTGACGCAGTACTTCTGCACCCCTCAATGGGATGCTCTCGACCAACACAGTCCAGTGAAGGAATGGATTAGCTGCCAACGCCGGCACACTTCCGCACCCCTCAATGGGATGGCGTACATACTTTAACGCAGGTTATCTACTTACCAGGATAGGCCACTAAGCACTACTAAGCAGGATAGGATCTATGTTAACTTTAACGCACAGAAGAGCCTGAAACCCTGACTCATTGCCTAATTGAATGCCCTCATGCAAAAAAAAAAAAAAAAAAAAACACGGGAAGAAGTTGTGATGCATGGGCCGGTGCTGGCAGATTCAACCTTCCCCACAGATCCATTCTTTCTTTCCATGGCAACGGTTAGATAAGGGGCAATAGAAGGCAAAGGACGAAGCGTCATAGACGTTATCAGAAGAACAATTACTTTCTATGTAGCTGCCTGAACGCGCTGAATGCCCGTGCACATTCAAGTGCGCACGTTCAAAGCCTGAGCGCGCGCGTTCAAACGCGCCATGTGGCACAGGAGGAGAAAAAAATTTTACGTGCGCCCGCGGCCAGCACGCGCACGCCGTAAGCCACCGGGGGCGTGCGGAGTTAAAACAAAAAAACAAAAAAAAACAAATCCGGTGTGTGTGTTGTTTTAAAAGACCCCAGATTCTCTCTCTCATTCCCTTCACAAATCATCATAAGCCATCCAAAAAACAAAACGGTTAGAGATGGGCAAATAATAAAAAATAGTAAAAAATGCAAGGTTGACCAGGAGAGGGAGTAGACAACAGGGAGGAGGACAAAATAAAGAGAGAGAGAGAGAGAGAGAGAGAGAGAGAGAGAGAGAGAGAGAGAGAGAGAGA